GGGAGAGAGAGATGTGGAGACAGACAGCGTAAGACAGAGTGATGCGCTCCGCTGCGCAAAGTCACTGCCTCTTCAAGGACACTGCGGCTAAGGGCAAGAGAGAGGGAAGGTGTGACACAAGGGGAGAAACATACAACCGGAAGAAGAAGAAGTGAGGAAGGGATCGGAGATAAAAATGAAAAGTTTGGTGTAGTTATAAAATAAATATGGATGCACTGTAATTTCTGTACAGTTTTAGTCAGTCTGAGGGAAAATGAAAGCAAAATCAACTCCAGAGGCTCTAGGAAGGTATCAGTGCTAACATGCTTAGTGAAGCATCTGCTGTTATCTCTAAAAAAATAAAATAAAATGCTTAAAAGTTAGCCAGAGAATTGAAACGTGTAAAAAGACATCTAAAATATCCGACATATTCTGTTTATTTAGCTCAGTTGCAATAAAGTTAAGTAGAAAATACAGATTATACAAGGTTAACCATATGTAGCTTAAAAATAGTTTAAAACTACTGTAGTCAAGAATTACTAAAACTAGTAAATGTTACAAAACCCCATTCAAATATACAGAAAGACAACAAAATAAAACCTTTTCATATAAATTAGCATATTAGCATAATGGCCTTCATTAAAATGAATGTTTATAGGGCCACAGAAGCAACAAAATAGGAGCCATAAGTGGGCCCCAAGCCACACTTTAAACTGCCAAAAAAATTGTGATGTTATGTCTAATAAACGTATATTAAATTTTAATTCCACAGTTATTCTTGTGCCATAATGACCATGATTAATGTTCAGTTCGGTCGGAGTTGTGTTTGCAGCTGGTCTTTATTAACCTCCAATTAAAGTAAAGTGACTTGACAGAAAAAGGAAAAGCGACTGAGCGCAGCACCATTCCTCTGTGCCTGTTCAATCCATGCAATCCTGTCATTTGTTATAGAGACATCAACACAAACGTGCAGACCCTGAAGCTGTCTCACTGAGATACCGGAGAGTGAGGCAACAAGGTGGAGCGCGTAAAAAAAAAAAGTACTTCACGTACATTAGCAGGCAGTTTATCAAAGCTAAAAAAACCACCAACCTCCGAGGAACACTGAGAGATGAGACGCCACGATGAATGAAGGGGTTTCAGGGTGTCTTCACACCAAAAACGATGATTTCAGGGAGTGAACACATGTCAACAGTTGTGAATTAAATCAGATTTCTCAGTGTTTTGTTACTTTGTGAATCATATTCAAATATAAAAAAGGCCGGAAACTAGTGCCATTGAAATTAAAGCACTGATCCCATTAAATAAATTGATAAATTTAACAGATATATTTTTAACCCATAATGTACATCCAATAGTTCTACCATTCATCCACTTACAGAGTAAACAGGATTAATTACTGCTGCGATTTATCGTGCTGTTCAATCATGAGATGTAATCTGATTAATCACAGGGTAGCTGTGATTAATCAGATTACATGCGACAATGTGTGGGATAAACCATGTAGTGTAAATGGAGCCGTTGTGACTTGGTGGAGAGTGTGTATCGCGTGTTGTTTTGCCTTCTGTGTTGTTTTCTTCCGAGGCATCGCATTCAGTACAAGTTTTCTCCTGACCTAGACTTGTGTCAACATGTGGTATTTGACGGTCTATTGTTGCCGGTCCGACATCACTCAGCTCTGCGCTGACATTCTTGTGGCTCAACACGTACAGTATTTACACACACATCTGAAAAC